GAACAACCTCAGGTACTTTAGCACACTGACTTTTATGCAGTCGTACGACGACGATGATCGCTCCAGGAGTAGATTGTTGTGCGCCGTATTAGCGGGAAAGGGGAGGGGGGGGGGAAGTGGCAGTGAAGGGACATTTAAAGGATTTTCGAAGGGTATTCGAAGGTCTATTAGAGAATTTGCTACACGGAATGTGAGGATTTTCGCCTGGACATCGGGGCAATGATCTCTTGAACTGATTCCTCGGTGCGGAATTTTCTGCCTTGCCGTAATTCTCGCGCGCTCAGGAGTCTGTTACCCTCCCCTGAGCGGACTTGTTATAATAGTTATTTGTTCTATTAAGAGTGTTGACGTTATGGACATGGAAATGGGAGAAATGACTGAGGAACAGCAGCTGGAGTGGGCTTTGCGCATGTCGATGCAGGATTCTGTGCCAGGTGCAGTGCACTGCCAAAGCTACCATGGGTATAAGGGTTACCATAGTCTGATTGCTTTCAGCTCCGGCTGCTCAACCAGCACAAGCGCAACCTGCTGAGGAAGTCATGGATGTGAGCACCGCGCAAGTGGTAATTATTCTAGATTCTTTCGAGCGGTAGAATTCATGTATTTTCTGAGCTCTGCCATTTCCAGGACAATCTCGATGAACTGATCAATAATCCGGAATTGCTACGGCAAATTATTGATGATCTTCCGGGTGGTGAAAAGGTTTTGATTCATTTACAAAATTGTGTTGAAGAATATCGATTTCGATTATTTATTACAGAAGAACGATGAGGAAAAACCGAAAAGCGAAGAGAAGTAGACGGCAATATCTTCCTGATAACTTAATGTATTTCTGTACTTGAACTATGCATGTGCAGTGAATTTGGACTGAATTGGGTAAAGAATTTTGAAGCCGGTATTTTTTGTCTGTGGAAGCAGCTTTATCGAAAGTTCTACCGAAACAACAGGTAAAGTTAGTGTGCAGGAAGCTTTCAGCATCTTAAACCGCTGAAGTGAAGTTCATGTTTTTGGGGTAAGAATGTGGAAAAAAAAATAAAATTTGGACCTACTCTCGTCATTACCACACCTTCGATAGTTTTGATGTAAGATAACAAGTGAGAAGACATGAATTAGGACTGATACCGTCCGTTTTCCTCTACTTATTGCCCCTTAACCGCTTCAACAACTGGTGGTGAGTTCATATTGTTGATGCCAGCTCTTTCTCCTTATCACGACACTATCACCACTTGAAAAGGAGAGAGCCAGTGGCGAATGACCGCACCATAAAAGACTTTACGAATGGAACCTGGGCGTTCCCTTGG